CATTTTGGCTTTTTCTAAAATCAAAAAATCTGAATTCCAAAACACATCGAGGGTTATACATAAGGGAGCATGGACCTGTAAGTAATCATGGTTATTATACCTAGCGCTGTGGATTGAACCTGGCTGACTGGAGGCCAGGGAGGAAGCTATGCGATGGCTTAAGTGAGAGATGGTGGAGCCTAAGTCACATTCTCTCAGAGTATAGGAAGCTAGTTCTTCCTGTCCATGGGGCCAGAGTGCTCAGGGTGGCTCTTTTCCTCCAAGGAGCTTGGTCTCTTTGCCCTCTCAATCCTGTTTCCTGCAGGAAAAGTCCAAGCTGGAGAGTGAGCTAGCCAACTTTGGGCCTCGCATCAATGATATCAAGAGGATCATCCAGAGCCGGGAGAGGGAAATGAAAGACTTAAAGGAGAAGATGAACCAGGTTGGTAGAGGATGAGCCATGCTAGCATGTGCATCAGGGCAGGACGGGGGTTGGAAGCAGCATTTTGACCCAAAGGGCCTTTATCTTCCTTTGCTTCTCCTCTCAGGTAGAGGATGAGGTGTTTGAAGAATTTTGTCGGGAGATTGGTGTACGCAACATCCGGGAGTTTGAGGAAGAGAAGGTGAAGCGGCAGAATGAAATCGCCAAGAAGCGGTAAGTGGAAGTGTGGGTAGAAGAGGAAACTGAGATGCCTTTGAGCCCCCAGCCTGATATCCTGGAAAGTCAAATGCCATCATCATAAGGCAGAGAGCAGCTCTTAGAACGATGGGCGTCTATTATAGATCAGCCTTAGAGAACATTAGTGAGGCAGTGTCGCATAGTCTAGTGGTTGAGAGTGCCACCTTTAAACGTGGTTTACCTGAATTAAAATCTCAGCTCCACAATTCATTATTTTGGGCAGTGACTTGATCCCTGAGCCCCAGTTTCCTCATCTGTAAAATGGGGTAATAATGACATCTGTCTCATGGCATTGTTGGACAGATCATATGAAATAATCCTGATAAAGTATTTAGCATAATACTTAGCACCTACTAAAAGCAATAAATATTAGCTTTAATTGTTATTATCCTGATGAGCAACAGAGGGGAGAAGGAACAAAGTTCTAGGTTGGAAAAATAGTAAGAACAAACCACAGTGTTTCTTCTCTTCCTCGCTTTAGTTTAGTCATTTGTTCAACAAACTTTTCTTGAGTACCTATATTGTGCTAGGTATTGGAAAGGCCAGGAGATGGGGATAAGACAGATGAAAACGACATAGTCTCCCTGAAAGAGCTCCTCCCCTGGACCCTGTGCCTCGGTCAGTTTATCGAGCCCATCATCCATACAGTAAATATTCATTGCTCTTCTACCCCCAAGCCAAGCTCAAGGGATATAGAATTGCATCAGAGACTGGCCCTACCCACAGGGAGTTGAGTTTTGGAGTAGTGGGGGAAACAAACAAGTAGATCAACGATTTCAAAACAATATGATGCTGTACTTGAAGTAGATACAAAGTACAGAGGAAATGGTTAAGGAACTGCAAATCAACAAGAGGAAAAATAAAATCTGGAGACAATAGAAAACTGGACAGAAAATATAGTTAGCATTTCACTGAAAAAGATGCATGCTTGAATGGCTAATTATGAATTGATGTTCAGTCTCATTCCTAATCAGAGAAATGCAAATTAAAACAATCTAGTGGAATTTGGTGAAAATAAGTCTCTGTAAGCCCTATGACTTAGCAGAGCCACTGCTGGATATATCCCAGTGAGAGTCTTACCACAGGGTCACAAAGGGGCACATTCAGGATTGTTCATCTTGACATAATTTACGGTGGTAGGATGTTGGCAGTGTAGACGGCCATCAGTGGGGGAAAGTACAAGTTAAATGTGATGAATATCTAGGCTATGGAATACCTGTAGTAGTTCAGAGGAAGAACTAGATTTACAGGCAGTACCATGGATAAATTTATAACACTGTACATTTGTGTAAATTTAAAAAACAAAATGACATTTTACAAGGATATGCATTTTGAAGACTATATACATATGTGTATATGTGTGTGTGTATGTATATACATGTATATGTGTGTCACTTTGGAGTACATGCTCATTGTAAGGAAAATAATGGGAGTGAAAATTAGGGATTGAACCAGAGAAGACAAAGGAAGGGTCTTGCACAGACAGCAATCATAAGTGTGTTGTGAACTATAGGGTGTGATTAACTTAACAGGACCAAAAAGGGAATAACCCAACAAAGTGTAATAGAAACTAAGAACCTGCTCACAGCCTTCAGGAAAGGTTTTACAGAACAAGGAATGATGAACTGAAGACCTGTAGAGTGAGTAGGATTTAGCCAGCCGGGCAGCAGACAGAAGAAGAGAGTTCCCAACAGTGAGAACAGCATGCTCAGAGGTGTGGGAGACTATGCCTTGTTCTGGAAACTAAATAGTTTTGAATGTCTGGAGCATAAAAATGGGGTCGGGTGGAAGGCGGAGGTGGTGGAGAGGTCTGCAGGGGCCAGATCACAGAGGGCTTTATGAATCATGCTTAGGAGATTGGACTTAAAATTACATCGCTCAAAATTATAGAGTTAATTACATTCCATTTGGATTATAGTGACTAATAGGTTTAAACTGCTAACGTGACATCTGGCAGCATCTGTCACACCATATTGGGCAGTTGAAAGTTAGCCCTGCCTGGCCTGCTAGTATCTATGTGCCGGTTACATACTCTTTGAGTTTCTGAAGAGATGGGGAAGAGAACAATAATAGGAATGTAGTATCTTCTCCATGGTTTTTATTACCCAATCTCTGTCCATTAGAGGTTCTGGAATCTTGGGGTGGGGGTGCGAATGTGGGAGTGGTAGTTGGAAAGAATAAATATGTGCTGTATACCTGGCAATAATGATGGTAACTAAAACTTATTGAGTACTTACTGTGTGCCAGGCATAGTTCTAAGTTATACATATTGAGTCATTAAAAAAATCTTCCAATAACTCCAAGGTAAGTACTGTTATTTCCATTTTACAGATGGGTAAGCAGAGGTAGAGAGGGTAAGTAACTTGCCTGAGAGTATACTACTAGAAAATGGCAGATTTGGGATACTAATCCTCTTATCCCACCATATTATATTGCACTGATGCCATAGAAGGAGCCTGGGTTTAGGGTTATACCTGGGTTTCAATGTCACATTTGCCATTTACTAGCTCTGCGGCCTTGGGCAAAGTCTTTTACTTCTTGGCCCAAGTTTCCTCATTTGTAAAGTAAGGATAATAATACCTATTCTGGAGCCGCTGACTAAAAGATTAGAGGTAATGTATGTAAAGTGCACAGAAGCTTAGTAAGTAGAAATTATAGCTGGTGTGTTCCGGTGGGCCTTTTTGTGCTTCCATCTAGGAAGCTGGTGGGGAGGTCTGGAGTCCTCCAGTGTTTAAAGGCAAGGTTAAAGAACTTTGGCCCAATCTCCCCTGCCTTGTGCCATTTCCTAGCCTTTTCCACAAGGCTAGGCTGAGGAACTTAGTTCTCCAACTTTAGGAGACAGTTTTATTGTGGATGTGGGTGGATGAGCTGAGTGGTGACTGAAATTCAGCAGTAACCCAGGATCCTTGTGCCCTGGGCCTAGTTCTCCTTTCTCTCCACAGTTTGGAATTTGAGAATCAGAAGACTCGCTTGGGTATCCAACTGGATTTTGAAAAGAACCAACTGAAGGAGGATCAGGATAAAGTACACATGTGGGAGCAGACAGTGAAAAAGGATGAAAATGAGATAGAAAAGCTCAAGAAGGTAAGGAAGGAGAGCATGAAAAGACAGACCAACAACTGGGAGAAAAATTGGAAGAGATATAGTAAAAGGATAATATCCATAATTTATAAAGCTGTAATTGAAATGAAAACACCAAGACCTAAATAGGAAAAAGAGGGGTATGTGGTACAAACAGTTCAAGAACGGATTCAAATAGCCTATAAACATACACATAATTTAGATACTAGAAATCAGAGAAATGCAAATTAAAGCAACAATCAGATGTAATTTATTTCTTATCACATTACCCAGGATTTTTTTCAAAGGATAATGCTTAATACCGCTGGCCCTGGCATGTGAGGCTAGCATTCTTATACCATATGGCACCATCCATCAGGAGTCTTCAGAACGTTTGCTCTCTGTAACTCAGTAATACCTGAGGAAATCCAAAAGGCTGGCACAGCTTTGTGCACACAGGTTGATGTTTATTACAGGCATTAATAGTTTCTTAGGGGAAACAATTCAGTGTCCCCTGAGAATTAGGAATTTAGCAAATTATGCTACATTCATACAAATATTTGTATAGTTTATTTGTCTTCAGATTTTAGTAATACACGGACCCCATTTAAAAGGAATATATTCCCAAGATCTCTAGTGTTGACTTAAAAAATCCGTAACGTTGTTTAAATATATATAAACATATATACTTGGAACACTTAACTAGAAAGCTAAGACAGTTACAAATTGAATTTTATAATTAACCCCGTTAATTCAGTGCAACAGATGATGGTGTTTTGCTGATAATCAAGTCCCTTTTCACAGTGCGCCTGTGCTGCTAACTGCTATGGCTAAGTTCCTTTGAATTGAGCATGTCTGTGCCACACCAGTTGTGGTCTGATGACTCACTTTTTCCACACCCCTTCTCTTTAAATTCTGTGAAATCTTTGTTCCTCACAGCATTCCCTCCTGAGGTGATTTGATCCTCACTTGGTTTGAACATATCATGACATCTTTGTCTACCTATGTTGTTGGTGATTTGTATGTGTGGTTTTTTTTTTCCATTATACCCCGATGGTTAAAATAGTCTTCTTCGGTGTCCCCAGAAACTTAAATGCAAATGCAGATTGGGCAATAAAATTCTGGAGCAGGACAAGGTAGACATCTAGATGATCCAGAATCATGTATTTCTATGACTTTTTGACTTTTTATTTTGAAATCATTTTAAACTTAACAGAAAGTTGCAAGAATAGTACAAAGAACTCCCAACTACCCGTCACCAAGCTTCATCAGTCATTAACATGTTGCCATATTTGCTTTTGCCTTCTCTCTGTATATGCATATTATTTTTTATGAGCCATTTGAGAGTAAATTGCTAATACATCTCCTTTATGTGACTTTAAGATCAAAATGAAAACTAAACATTCTCCTTTAAACAGTCAAAACATAAGTAAGACTACAGTTCTCTTTGACCACTCTCAGTCCCAGTCCCCTTATTCTTCCCCAGGGCTAACCCCATGGAGTATGTATTCCAGACCTGCAGATATTTACTTAAGTACTTCCACATTCATATACGTGTACTCATAGAAAATACACCATATTAGTTTGTGTTCTTTTAAAAACATCAATGTTGTATAGCTCATGGCAGTAGTTTTGATGTGGAAAATATGCTCAAATATAACATTAAGTCAGAATACCAAATTTTGATTACAGTCTAGTCTCGACTATGTAAAGCTATTTATAAGTAAGGCTGGGAGGAAATAGGCTGATATGTTAATTGATTATCTCTGCCTAGTGAGATTATGAGTGATTTTTTTCCTGCCCCTGCTTAATACTGTCTCTGTACTTTGAACTTTTCTACAGCAGACAACTGGTAAAATGGGGTGTGTCGGGGAGGGCAACCAGATAATTTAGAATAAGATTAAAAGAAGCTTGAGGGGTGATGGGGGTTTGTTAAAGCAGGGCTCATTGAAGAGAGGCTATATCAAACTGCCGGGTGAAAAGGGTGGGGGCAAGGAGAGAAGATCCTAAGGTGAGATAATGAAAGCCTTCACCTCTTGTCCTGTTCCCCTTGCTGGGACCAGGAGGAACAAAGACACATGAAGATCATAGATGAGACCATGGCCCAGCTACAAGATCTGAAGAATCAGCACCTGGCCAAGAAGTCAGAGGTGAATGACAAGAATCATGAGATGGAGGAGATTCGTAAGAAACTGGGGGGCGCCAACAAGTGAGTGGGTTCAGGCCTGGGGTTGGGGCAAGTAGGTAGAGCAGACAGCCTGCTGGATTTGGGTCTCACCTATCTCCTTGGGTCTTCTTAGGGAAATGACCCATTTACAGAAGGAGGTGACAGCCATTGAGACCAAGCTTGAACAGAAGCGCAGTGACCGCCACAACCTGCTACAGGCCTGCAAGATGCAGGACATCAAGTTGCCACTCTCTAAGGGCACCATGGATGATATTAGTCAGGAAGAGGTGAGTATCATGGCTGATGGTAGGAGTGGGCTGTGAGCAACATTAACCAGGGAAGGAGGATGAAAGCGTGGCGTGAAAGTGGCCAGGGAGGGCAAGGGAGAGAGAGAAGGATGGTGGGCAGGAGTGGTGAGGGACATAAGGAGGGATGGCAGGGCGAGGCTGTGAAGGCAGGTGAGGTGAAAGGTGGTAGCCTTGGTGTGAGAGGGAAGTTATATTGGAGGTAGAGCCCTATCTCTGTAGGTGATGAGAGAGGTAAGCCAGGAGATGAAATCATTCACTAACCTTTGGGACTTAAGCTAAGTTAGCTCCAGTAGGTGATGGATATTGATAGGAGTGGGAATTGAGGGACATTAGCCAAGAGCAAAGGAAGACAGAAGCTGGAGGACTTGAGGGACGGTAGCTTAGCTGCAGTGAGGGAGATTGGCCAGGAGAGGGTTGGGTAAGGGACATCAGCAATGCAGAGGTGACGAAGCTTAGTTATAGGAAAGGGAGAGACACTAGCCAATAGAGAAGCCAAGGCACTTTATCCAGTGGAAGTGAAGGTTGGTAGCAAGGGGTGGAGAATGTCAACTGAGAAGGTTTGCGTAGATCTTGTCTTCAACCTGGACATGTATCTAAGTCCTACATGTCTGTCTCCCTCTCCTCTCCCCAAATAGTATTTCAGTTTAATTCAGCAAAATACTTTGAACACCAGAAATGTGCCAGGCCTCATGGTAGCACATGACATAATTACTCCTAATCCAAACCACAACTCTGCCAGACTGGCACCGTCCCACATTACAGATGAGGGAACTTGGGTCCGACAGCGTGACTTGCCCAGGATCACACCCTTAGGCAGTGGTAGAGCCCAATTTCGAACTCAGGTCTTTCTTCAAAGCTGCTGTCCTGGCACAAGTGCTTTCTAACAAGGTGCTTTCTCAGTCATTGAAGTCTGCAAAGGAGCCCCCAGTCCCCTCTAGAGGGGTCCTCTCATGGCCAGTATGCTTCATTCTACTCCCTCTTGTCATTGCAGGGTAGCTCCCAGGGGGAGGATTCAGTGAGTGGTTCCCAGCGAACTTCCAGTATCTATGCACGAGAGGCCCTCATCGAGATTGACTACGGTGACCTGTGTGAGGATCTGAAGGTGAGGATGTGCCTAAGGGTTGGGGCAAGGGTGGGAGGAACATCTTCCCAGTTCTCCAGAGAGAAGGTCAGCTCATCTGGGGGCCCCCTCTGGAGACCAGGGCTAGAAAGAGAGGCAAGCTGGCAAGAGAGAGAGGATAGAATTGTAATCCAGGGTCTCCCCCTACATGCATACACAGACATTTCCACACCTTCCCCACCCCCAGGTTTCTGTCCCTGCCCGCTGCCCATTTGCCCCTTCCACACGTGTACACATCGCAGCCCAGATATACACAGAGAGAAAAGGCACTTGTACAGTGAACAGCTAGGCCTCGAGGGTTCCTCAGT